GAGGATGAGATGGATGTGACCAAACTCTGGGAGGCAATGGAAGATAGGAGGGCCTGGCATGCTCTGGTCCATGGCATCACGAAGAGTTGGACATGACTTAACAACTAAACAACAACACATGGAACTGGGACGGAACAAAAATGCCAGTAGGATTCTGAGAAACACAATGAAAAGAACATTGAGGATCTATTCAAACCCTGTAGTTAGCACATTTTGAGAAGAATGAGATAGACCACTGTAATCTTGAGGATGGAATCTTCCTCATGAATTGAATGTCAGTGAATGAGTATCCTCTGTTGAAAATGGACACAATCTCCAGGGTCTTGTCTGATTGAGTTTATTTTATTTATTTATTTATTTATTTAATTTATATCCCGCCTATCTGAATCACATAGGACCACTCTAGTTGGGCTGGATGCTTACCTTCTTTAGGACTCTACCTGTCCCTGAAGCTTTGGGTATTCTGTATTTCTTCAGGAGGGACTGCCCTGCAGTTTCAGAAGCACTGGTTTCTATTGTTCCTCATTTCCTTTCTATTTTGAGTAAGAATCTTTCTTCTGTCTCTCATACATCCTACCTGAAATCTAGAAGACTTGTATATTTGAACAAAGTGCAATACTTGGGACTTTGAACCAGTTTTAACAGAGAATCTTGCGGTACTTTAAAGACTAATGCACACTAATTGGCATCATTTTTAAAGGATTTCAGCTTGTTCCCCCATGGCAACATCTGATTCAATTCAAAAAGTGCATCTCAATGCAATATGAAGATACACATACCCCCCACCCCATATATATGTGTGTGTGTGTGTGTATGAATAGAATTAAGTGTGTGTGTGTGTATACACACACATATGTATACATATACATATATGTGTGTGTGAATCTGTGTGTGTGTGTGTACACACACACACACACACACACACACACACTTCATTCTATTCATGCATAACACTATAATCCATATTATGTTTAATATAATAATCATATGCTGTTAAGTCAATTCTGATTTATGGTCAGACCCTTTCCAGAGTTTTCCAGGTGGATAATACACAGAAGTGGTCTACCACTCCATTCTTCTGGGAGTGTCCTACGGCTGTGCAGCCTGCCCAAGATGACACAGGCTGGCTCTACTTGCAGGAGGCACCATGGGAAATCAAACTCACAACCTCTGGGTCTGCAGCCAGATGCTTAAACCAGATTTAGGTTGATTAAAAATGTATAGTCCTTAGAGTACCTGAAGACTTTCTGTCCTGTGTCCCGTTTGATTTATTGCACACCAAATTGCTATGGTACAAGAGGGTTTTCTCTCATTTTTTTTTTAGGGTGTTCTAACTGAGTCCTTAGCAGACAACTTAGAAAAGGTAGAAAACCATTTGTATAATTGCTGTGTACCCAAGAGGATACTGGCCACCGGTTTAAAGGTGCCACTAGACTTTTTTTTTGGGGGGGGAGTAATTAACAAGGCTGCCCTGTAGAAACTGGCAAGATTTGTTACACTGAATGAAAAAAAGGTTGCATTCAAGTCACACACCAGCCTGATCAAATGTATATTGTGACTTGCCAGAAAACCTCCGTGCTTTTTTAGTCACAAGCAGCTACACACAGCAAAATATTTGCTTAGCTCCTGATGATCCGCCATATGTGCCTGGTGTACAGTGTGGCACCTTATCGTGCTAATTTTGGAAGCTAAGCAGTGTCACGCCTGGTGTGTACGTGGATGGAAGACCAGTAAGGTATATAAGGTAGGACTAGGAACGAATTCTGCCTGATAATGCTGGTCAGTCAATGGCACCTCCCTAAATCCCTATAGGAGTTGAGCAGGCCTGAAATATAGCAACAGTAGAAACAGACAGAGCACAGGTACTGTAAGAGACTATGAAAAGCCCTGAAGTCAACCTGAGACCCTACCGAGTGCCTTAACTTCTCATCTGCACACAATCTGTACTAAAAAAAAATGTGCATCTAAATTAAATTAGCTAATTTATACCCTAACTACCATCTAAGCACCGTGATGATATAAAGTGCTGCACAGGAGCTAATTACTACAACAATTAATTAATATACGGCACAAACAAAATGGAGACATGGAAATTAGCATGTTGGTGGCAAATAACAGACTCTGCTGATTAAAATCAGAAAGATAAATTAATGTTCTCAGGTTCCCTTTCTGCTTGGTGCTGGCAAGGTATAGGTTCTCCCTCCCTGATAGTCATATGTCTTCATTAAGAATGTAAAGCAGGTCCAGTTGACAACTATACTATTGTGTGAACTAGTGACAGTGGGTAAGATCAGCAATTACCATCATCAGAGTACAAATAAGAAGAACACTATGGGAGAGAAGCACCTCCCCGGATGAGATATAGGACTATCCGGTCCCGCTTTGAAGTGGCTGTCACAAGGTTAGAGAAAAATCACCCCTTACCTTCGCATCCTCGTTCTATCTGTCCATTGCAAAACAGAGCATCTGAGATCAAATCTGGGAGGCGCCCATTGAGATCCACAGAGGCGAGGCAGCCTTGAAACCCTTCTTTCGCATGGACCAACTTGGGCAAGGATTTGTAGGTCTCTTTTGCTACTCCTCCAATGTACAAATCACCTGTTGAAGCCAAAACGCATGCTTAGTCATCACACAGCTTGAACTGTCCATATCCATCTTTTGAAACACATTGAAAACATTTCCACCTACTGGAAATCTGCTGAAGGCATCTCGTAGTTGATCAGGTATAACAGAGCCATATTGCACCACAGTTTGTCTCAACAAAGAAAAGCATTAATAAAATCCAATGGAAAAAAAAAAACCAACCACCCCATTGCAACTGAAGGAATTGCTCAAGTTATCAGCTAACTAATAGCTCATGTAAAGAAGGCAGCACTTGAATACAGGAGAGTCATAGGCCAGTCACTGTTCTTTCCATACAATGCCCTGGAACAATGATACAACCATGGGGACCTGGGAAAAGTGAAATGCCAGCCAGATTGCGAGAGAGGAGCTCTGTTGTCACCACCCCAATTTTTGTCAATGGCAAAGCAAATGCATTCATTCAAAAAATAGCAGACAAAGACATGAGCCACCGTTGCTAATCATTAGCTCCAAAAACCTGTTGCTGAATCTTCTCAAATTGCTGTAAAGCATGAATTAGTTTCTATCCACTTGTGTTTTGAATTGACTTCTGTTTGATTCCCAGCACACATCACTGCTTGAGTAATCCACACGAGCACACAGTAGACATAATTTTGGCAAGAGAAAAAGAAAATGACTGGATGCTCCAGCCTGTTGATTTGCAGGAATTAAAAAAAATGCCTCGGCATGTAATCACAAATAGTCATTTCTGTGGTTGTTCTCATTATTCCCATTCAGATATATGCAGAAAACTCATGGATTCTTCACATTACTATCTCAACTCTCATTGACAAAAAACTTTGCATGGGTTTCGATATTGAAAATGCTTGAAAATGGGCTCAGCATTTTTTATCTCAAGCTTACATCAAATCCACCCTGCAAATGAGTATGAGACAATATCTAAATTATATCCATCTGGTGATATAAGCTCTTGTGATCCAGTGGCAACCAGATGCCATTGGACGAATGAAACAAAGGACAGAGTCACTTCAAAAGTACGCAGTGCTTAGCTCTTCCCTATTTCTGATTTTGCACACACATCTCCAGTCTACTCCAGAAGTTGATAGATCCTTTCAGAAAGTGCAAGAAGAGGCACCTCCCTCCATTTTGCACCAACGGAAGTCTTCAGTGGCATGGGATGGAAGAACCCATCAATGTCAATTCATTCTGAATTTTCTTGAGGGGAAATGCTAGTAACAATGGACCACATTAACGTCTAGCCAACACTGAAAAGAAAATAACACTCAGTTCATAATGTCGTTGCCTTATATTCATGGAACCAAATGTGGCTCAGTTTAGACAAATGAATGAGATGAAAGAAAATGCATCCTTCCTCAGAAACAGCATAATGAAAACTATCAATTTTCTTAATGAGCTGGTTCCTGAATAGATAGTTGTCCCTAAAATATAATTCTCTCTAATTTCTAACAGCTATACAACATTTTAGCCTTCAGAGGGGGAGGACAAAACATGATAGACACACAATGGAAAGAGTGTGAAGCAATGAAATGAGAATGGCAGTGCAATTATTTCCATTTCCCTGTTGGGACTGTTTTGTACTTAGGGTGAAGGCTGAAACTATAATAGAGGACGGCTCAGTCCCACTGAATATGTGCAGAAGCTTTCCATGAATGTTGCACGAGTACCAAGTCCGGTTTAGGAAGTTCATGCCTCTAAAAGTTTCATCTCAGTTTCTCCTCAGATTAGGAGTTTCAGATTTACCAATCTCGTTTTCAAAGCAGAACTTGATTTTAGGAATGAATGATCATTTCCTTATTATTATTTTTAATTAATTATGGAATTGTTGGGTGCCTAATCATTACTGGATGCCTGCAGCCAACCTCTATTAATGAATTTAGTTACCGGCAATGAACCCGGTGACACACGGAGAGAGAAAGCAGCTAATAGTGAAAGACTCAAAACATCTACATCAAATATGCATTCCCTCGGTGGCCACCATTCAACCCCTTCCAGGTTAAAGTTAAGGAAAAGTTATTTTTTTAGAACATTAACTGACATATTTATTAACTGAACTGTTATGAGAAAGAAATACTTTTTTTTAACCATGCATGCACTACTTATAATAATTTACAATTCTTTCAGTTCAGCCATATTTCTCCCCTTCCTGTTACTAGCGCATGCATGAACAAACACTGCAAAAGAGTTGCATTCATGTGTTTGTGTGTATGGTCACACCACAATATTTTCCATGTTTTGACAAATAGACCTGCAAACTTGCATTCTGTGATAAATCATTGAAAAAAAGGATGGGAAAAACTTATTGTGAGATATGTTGTTATTAAGTTGTTGTGTAGTATTTTACCAATGAGCTAGTAAAAGAATATCCACACATAAAGTACATCATTTATACCAGCATTTCCCAACCTGGGGCTTATGACTCCCAAGGGGGTCACAAAATGTTTTCTGGCGGTTGTGGGTCACCTTATATGTGTTGTAAACACTTGTTAAATAATTTCTCCCTTGACCTTTCTGAAAAGGATGTTAAAGTTAGAGAGTATGTGTATGTATGAGAAACAAGCCCTTTGCTGGGGGAGAAAGAAGTGGTATTTTCTGAGAAGAGAATACTTTATTCAAATAAGAAAAAGAGAAATTTTGCAAACAATTCCATTATTAACTTAAGAAATTACCCTAGTTAAATCAGAATTCAGGGTGAGTGGAGCAACAAGATCATAGGAATATGCTTCGTGCACAAGAAATCATCTGTCCTTTTGGCTCAATGTCATCTATAATGACAGGGGCAGAAGTATTCCAAAGTCCAGTGCAGAGCTACCAGGAACCAAAACTGAGACCTTCTATAGGCAAGGCATGTGCTCAACAAGGAAGCTATAGGCCCTTCTAGATAAAGAACATGCAACATCCCAATCTTATTTATCCCCTGGCTTAGTGTGCCAACATTATATTGTGTAAGCCTTGAAAACGTATGAAAAAGTGCCACCAATGTTCCATCATTTCACATGATATGACATATACCTATTGATTAGCAACCAGTTTCCCTCAGGGGCTCTTTTGAGTTCTACTCAGTAGGAAATAATGGACCAAGAACTCAATCCAATTGCATTATTTCTCTTACCTCTTCTGTCTCTAGAGGAGGATGGGAATTGCCATCTCTGGTGATGCTAAAGTTGGCTCAGTATTTTCAGCTGCAAACTTCTACTGTAGGTCTTTTGGGGCCAAGAACATGCAGAGTTTCCCCACTAAGGGTGTAAGGGAGACCATGGCTTGGAAAAGACGCCAGGCAGGGAAAATGTTCTCTTCTTTAATCCTGTGAAAGGCTAAAACCTGCTGTGGGTCTTGGAAGTGGAGATGAGCCTGTACGTCATCGTCCACACGTGCCCCAATTAAGGCACTGCAGGAAGAGCAGCAAGGAAATGTCTCTGACCCAAGAAAGAAATGCATTCCTACAAACACTTCTTGGTCATGTTGAAGCATTCCTTGGGGCACCCAGAGGCCAGATTAGATAAAAGACGAGCTTGACAATAAAAAGGTGGGAAACCTTTCAGTGCAGCAATAAGATAGAAACAGGTAAGCGGGAAAGGAAGAGTTTAGACTGCAGGTTATCCTGCAGTCCAAAACCTGTTGTACCTCACACCTCAAAACTCAGCAAACCCCCCCAGACTGCTACTTACCCTGGCACAAGTAGTCACACATACCAAAATGAGTTAAAACATGTAACTAGAATTAATTTGGAAAAAAAAGAGAGACCCCCACATGGGTGTTTTAACTTCCCCCTGCTTCCCATTCCAAAAAAAGTGCATTCAGCTGTATGTTGTGTGGTTGGAGATGTTTAAATCACGTTCAATCGTGCCAAACCTGATGCAAAAATAGGAGCATTCTAACATGTAGTTGAGCCATTGAATTATTTTTCCAAAATGAACCAATATCATAGATAGTGTTTCTAACAAAGATTTTCTCTGATTCTGAGTGCATGACACGGGAAAGAGCTGTGAAATGCTGGAATATGTTCCAGACATTATGATGTGCTCCTCTGAAGAAGCTATGGTGCTGTTTGCTGAGACAAATGCTCCATTAATTCCCGACCCTCCAAAATGAGAGAAACAAGAAAGATTGTGTCCGAGTTCCAACATCTAGAAGAAATCAAGTTAAAGTTTGTATTAGAGGTGTTGATATTGGTTATTTTGCAGCAAATAAAAGTGGTACTGGGGTGGAATTGTCATTTTTCTCTCTCCTGGCGCTAATCATTAGCTCCCGTAGAGACAGGCCTTTGTACAACACAATATAAAGCAACACACAAATGGCTCGTAATTGTTTGGTGGATGGGTTAATGGCAGCTTTGCGGCCCTTTCTATTTTTCATTTTTAAAGAATTAGTGCCATTGTTGCCCCATTCATTGTGTGCAATAAAGAGTGCTTTATGCAAATATAGTGATTTGCAAACTCCTCAGATTTGCTCATTGGCAACTTCCTGCGTTAACAGCAGAATGGATGTAATGAGATCTTTATACTGACACACACACCCCACACAAAAGCAACATACACAGGCAGAATTCCATGCAAGCAAAGGCTGTTTGGTCTTTTCATCAAGGGATAATGCCTGGCACAGAATCTTACACATGAAAGGTGGCCTGCAGTTTAAAAGGGAGCTGGCCAAAATTAGCAAGAATCTGCACATGAAGAAATGAATGGACATAGGAGCCCTTTCATGTTTCCCTAGAGATGATGGGGCATGGTGAGTGGAAGGACAGCCAGTCAAAATTTGCTAGCTTTAAAACTGAAACAGCATGTTGTGCTAATTCAAATTTTGGCAACATTTTAAAATTCAGAGATAAAATGGAAAGGCTTTCCTACTTTTAAAAAAAAGATTGTTTAGTTCTAAGACACGCAAACACACACATAGAGAGAGCACAGCTTATGAATCAAATAACACAAATATATCCAACACAAGATCTAATACATAAAGATTTTCTTGCTGGCAATTTCCTCTAATTAATTAAGGCT